GCTCTGCATTCCTTAAGCTATCTCAAGGCCTGGATCAATGGGTGTGATAAATCAGTTCCCGTGGCTGTGGCTCTGCTGATATGAATCATCAGTTCTTCGAGCAGGACCACAGGAGGCTGCATGACAGACAGAGACAGGCAGGCAGAAAAGCGGGCAGGCAGGCAGGCAGGCACGAAGCAGGTGAATCATCTGATGGTGTTGGTATGGGGGAAAGCTGGGGGTCATTGAACAGAATAGTGTGGGAGATCACAAGGCTTTAAAAGTGAAAACCAGCTTTTGCTCTTTATGCTTTGGTGCTTTACTTCAAAAGGGACTTTCCATATGGAAAGCTGATGATTTACGTGAATAAAAGGATAAAAAATGATTGTCAAACAAGCAAAGGAAGATATACAGTTTTTACATCCAAACATATAATGCCAAAAAATCCACCTTTATATCATGCAAAATCCACTTTTTTAGTCGTTAAATACATTTTGTTGAGTACTNATGGGTGAATGTCTGTAAGTGTAAAGCGCTTTGGGGTCCGGAGGGACTTGAAAAGCACTCTATAAGTTCAGTACCATTTACCATTTAAAGTGAAAATTAGTTGATGTGAGACACACTTCAGAAAATAGGTGAAAGAGGCTTGTGGAGTTACAATAAGGTGGAATTCTGACTAAAGCATTGCACCTCCACTGTATATAGACCCCAACTAAATGATTTTAAACATGAAAATAAAGATTTTAAAAGCATTTGTCTCCTTTAATGGTGGAGTTAATGTTTCTTTTTACATACACTACTGTATGTTGATCTTCGGCATTAAAGTTCCTTGTGTATTATCAATGGAAATGATGCAACCAGTCCTTCACATAAGATGACTTTCAGTTAGCATTATCTTGTTCATCATGTGTTTTGAAAGGGCTGATCAGCTATTCTGACAGTCATTAGTCTGTCAATCTGTCTGACAGTCCTTCTGAGTCTTTTTCTTTCACCTTGCTGCTATCTGCCTGACTCTTTCTATCAGACTCAAGCATGTTTTATCTGCGTAAAGTACATCACAGTGAAGTAACATCTCCCAAGACAGCCAGGAAGCTGATAGGCATCACTCTACAAACAGGCTGTTTCTCCCAGGACTCTGCACAAAGATAATGCGCTGTTCCTCTTTTTCCTATTTTCTTCTTCGGTCGCTCTCTGTCTTTGACTCTGTCTCACTTTGTTTCCTTACTCTTTTCTTCTTTCTTTTTTACCTGCATGTATGTATGCATCTCTCCTTTTTTCTCTTTGCTTGTCTCCATCTTTCCCATCTCTCTCAGTCAGGACCATCTCATGAGGATAGCGGTGCACTAACACTCCCAATCGGAGTTCCTGCAGACATTAGCCTTCTGTGTTCCCACTAACCTGTGATGGAATTAGAAACACAACCCCCTGTGTGAGCAAGACACGGCTGCTTTAACGATGCACAGTGAAATTGTGCTGTAGGAGAGCTAAACGCATTGGCATTTTAGGTCAGTGCCAGTTGTCTTGCGGTGTAAGCGTGTCCACTGCGTCAACCTCCTTTCGCCGGCCCAGGTTTCAGTGGTGCTCACCATATGGTAACCATGGGATACAAGGCACAGATAAAGCTAGATATGCCACCAAATACCCTTTGACGTCACAAACCTTTTTCTGTTTTCTCAGCTCCTCCTCTTTATTCTGTCCTTGTGGGGAAATAAAAATCATCACTATTTGAACTGGTCTGAACATTCCATTTCAAAAGTATTACAACGGTTATTATATCTTGGCCAACAATAGGTTAGTTAATACAACAGATGCTGTGAGTAATCAAAATAATTATG